GGTAAAGATTCACTCTTTCAAAAGCAGTAAACTGCATTTGCAATTTTTTATTCGCGCCATGGAACTTGTCGAAGTTCGTAAAAAATTTTAAGATTCGTCGGGTCTCCTTTTCTATCCGTGTAATTCCATGAAAGATTAGTAGGATCGTTTTCTTAAGTATCAATTTGGAAAGTAGAGATTTCAAGCTGTAAAATGCTTTTTTGATCATCCCGATACGATCATTTTTGACGAAGTTACACTCTCTTGAATTTTGCCTATTTTTGGATGGTAGAGTAAGATGATCTTTTATTTTTGGCATATGTATTCTATAATTTTAAACTAGACAAGCTTTAAATGAGTGTAACTACCAGTGTATATTGTATAATCATTTGTAAAATGTGTTTATCTTGCCTATTAAACTTGACGTTAAATTTCGGTGTTTTTCGTTAATTTGACGTCGATGCTTTTTTTATTTTTTCGAATGCAGGAGCGTCCGGATACGTCAGGATGTTGCAAGAGGTGCATCTGATGATCGCCGAAACCGATGATCTCGCGACAGAATTTTTCCTACAAACTTCTCGCAAATCACTCTCGATACCGACGCCGCATCGTCACGGCGCGGCGTCGCGATGCCGCGCCGGGACGTGCCAGTGCGCATGTCGACGTCAGAGCGCAGAATCCGTGTCGGAAGTCGTGGACGTCGGCTGCTGGACGTATGGACGGTCGGTCGGTCGGGGGAACACGAAACGATATCGCATCGCTAAATATAATACGAAGGCACGCGGTTCTACTAACCGTCTCCGCCACGGCACGCGAGGCGGCATGATCACGGCGACGACGATGTCGACGACGACGGCGACGGCGGCGGCGGCGGCTGCGGCGGTAGTCACCGTTTGAGACCATCGACGCTCGTATCGACCTTCCGTCGCCTCGCCTTCGTCGACGATAATTCGCGAGAATATCGCCGCGTGCATCTCGCGTCTCTTCGAGGGACTCCGACCGTGGAAAACGGAGTAGTGAGCCTCTCCCAGACAGGTGCGTCCGGAAACGAGGGATCCCCGAAGTGCTACTTGCCAGGGGGTTTGCGATATTTTTGTCGGAGCTTCTTCACGGAAACTTGATCGTTCAACATCGTCGTCGAAAGCCGTAGGTGAGGTAATCTTTTAAAGTCATACTTCGATAAAGTCAAGATTTCTGGAGAGATTGGTATCTTAATTAATATTTAATAATTTAGTAAACATTTTTAACGGTTTTATATACATATAATTTATTTAATGAATATGGAATATCTTAGAGATTTAATTAATTAGTTTATAAAATATCCATACAAAATATTTTAGACGTTTAGTAAAATGATAGGAGAGTAAGCTGTTTATTCCACTCCATGATAGGAATTTAAGGTGTTTACTTCCACCGTCTCCAAATTTCTGACAGCTGTTTATAAATTAAGATCAACAAATTAAATGAATTAATTCAAAACTAAATTATATCTTTTAATTATGTTGTAATTTAAAATATTAGCTCGTTGATTTTATAGAATTTATATACTGAATAATTTATATACTATGTATTATATATCGCTGAATTTTTTATTTTTCGAATAAGAGGATTATAGGTATTTCTCCTTTATTTACTTAGGCTATTTGAACTTTTCTCTTCACATATTCTTTTGCTACATTACGAGTCTTGTGTTTTGTTGATATTATTATTACATCGCAGTTAATATATATATGTATCTCTGCCTCTATCAAAATATCTCTGCGCAATTTCTCAGATCATAAAAATTCATTCGTGATTACGAGAAGCCTTAAAAATACCTATTGATCCATTTGTAATTGCGACGTATTCCAAGCCAAGGTAATGTCACATTCACGATTGTTCACCGTTGACTCAAAGTCGTTTGCTCGTGTTGCGTCTCGGTTTTCAATGTCAACCTCGTGATCGTGAATGTATGTGTCGCTCATTATCGTTTCGTTGAATAGAGTTAATCCGAGTCGAAAAGATTTTGAATGCTTATAGTAATATTTCTTGAGATACACGTGCAACCTTCAAAACTATCATTTGGAAGGTATATATTAAAGTTATCACAATTTATTAAATAATTAAGAATTATTATTCAGAGCAGAGTGATTAAAATTATTAAGTAAAACCATTCTGTTATCTCTATAAAAAGAAAAGATGGTTAAAAATTAAAAATATGCACAAAATTTTAAAAAATATTTTTTTTTTATTGACATTATATTATGATCAGATGATGCAATGACAGTCAACTTCTCTACGATTATTGATCGGCGAATACTGCAAGCACTGTACTCAGGCGGTAACATACTGCACGAAATGATAGACATGCAATAATGAAAAATATGTTGATATACACCCACTCACTCTTCCTGTATACTTTTCTTATATCAACACGTATGTGCAATATGTACTATACGGATGGTATTTAGATGTAAAGAAGAAATTAACATGTAAAAGTAAAGGTTTATGAAAACCGGTTTTAGAAAAAATTAAATTTTACAAATCAGAATTTGAAAAGAAGACATACGAATATCATTTTCATTCCATAAGATTTAATTTAAGGTTTAAGGCAGAAAATATTTTTATCTACCATTATTTTATAAAATCATAATTTAAACTTTATTTCCGAATGTAATATTTAATATCTGTGTGCGATAGAGATGAGTATCCAGAAGCCGGAAGATCTTTTATCGATTGTCATATCAAGTGAACTTCCACCTTCTCCGAATTCCCGACAGCTGTTTATAAATCAAGATCAACAGGTGCGTTTTTTACTATAATTCACTCTGCATTCCCCTTTCATTTAAAGTAGACATTTTCTTTAAGAAATTTAAAAATGCCTTAATGAAAGTGCTATTAGTGTCTGCATTCAATCTGATACGGCCGTTACCGTAGCTAAAATCTAATATTTTGAGAGACATGACGATAGTGTTAATATTTTTGTAAAAGAATGCAATGATGCAGCACGATATCGAATCGCAATCGTATCGAAAGAGAAGCAAATGGCACTTTCCCATTCCGCGAGACTCCGTTCCGAGAATCTTGTCTGACGCGTGCATTCAATCTTTTAATAGGATGAAGAAGCGTCCGATTGTCCCCTATTAACACCAAGTCCACCACCTACCCAAACTGACGAGGCTCTACAGTCGCCGCCGATATTCAATGCTCTGGAAGGAGCTCCATTAGAGATAATACCCACGCCAACGCTTGAGAATATTAATACGGAGGACGGACTCAACTTCATGAACATAGTGAACAGCTCGAGTAAACCTTTAAACGATGGTACGTACTTCTCACCTATTCTAAGCACACAAACATGCGTTACCTTCAATACACGTGTGCTTTCAATTCCATTACCTGCATGCATGACATTATCTCTGTGTTTTTCTTTTTTTTTTGTATTATTGGATTGTGAATTTAGCATTTAATTTGTAGTAATAAAATAGAATTTTATAACAATATTGAATAACAATATTTTATGACAGTATTGAATGACCGAAAAAAGAAGAGAAAGGACGAATATATGAATTAGCATTACTATGAATTATTTGGACGAGGACTTCTTTTCTTTAAATATTAAATGTTCGTTAAGTGGCTTGGGCTGAAGAGCTTACGTAATCGGCGCTGTAACGTCAACGCTCGTTCGTTAAAGCGCCTTTGATAGGATCCAGTTTCAATCTAAACGACGATCCATTCAGACGTACTGGTATATTTAATCTTTCTATATTTAACATCAAAATAGCCCAAGTGAAAAGAATGACAACTATTTGGCTGCATAAAAATATTTTAGATTCTTTTGTTTAAAGATTTATTTTGTAAAAGTACAGAAACGTATGTGTTATAGACTATTCAAACATAGTTTAATCGTACAATTCGTCAGAATCTAATCTTCATCTTTTAATTACTTTTTCGCGATATAAATAATTTTTGCTTATTGTTAAGAACATTTTAATAGCGATATAAATGGTTAATGCGTGTCGTATCGTTTAATGTTTCAGAACCGAGTTCACGCGATCCCATGGTGGAGTCCACTAGCAGCGGCAGCAGCAGCGACACAAATGAACCTGTTTGCGCACAATTGTTGACACAATTGAATACCGCCTATCAACATCTCGCACCAGATGCACAAGCTTTAGTAAGTATCATAAATGGCACTCGAGGAGATTTAATTCTTCCGGATTTTTTTAGATATAAAATAGAATTGATATGGAGAGTTATTTAATTCAAATATTATTCAAAATCGGAAATTCCTCAAAGTGTTAAAAAATCTTGAAAGTTTTGAATGTCTTGAAAAATTCTTTTTCCATAAGCATTTGAATAATCTATTTAAAATTTTGAGAAATAAAATTATTATTTTTTGTCCGTGTATAAAATAAGGAGATAAAACACAAAATTTTCGAGACTTTTGACATATTTATTTTTTAAGAATCTTTTAGTTTTGGAGTAATAAAAACGATGTAAAGTTTTCTTTGTGATATTCCAAGTGATTTATACTTGTATTTATTACTCATTACTTCTACGTACATGTATATGTGCCTATCGTGCTTAATGTATTGTATGTTTATCACAAGATTCACAAATTCCGTCACTGCTACTTGCAGAAGCGAAGGACATTTATATATGCTTGTATAATGTTTCATACATTACATATATACGTTTACATTTGCCTAGCACGGATAAAGAGACTTTGTCAATTAAATGTATCACATGTGCACGAAAGATGCTGCCTTGTGATTGCATTCACTTAATCGTGATTGTATTCACACTCGCAATCTATATTTTTACATCCAGCTAAGTCGTTACTTCGTGTTTGCTTGTCGAATTATCATCTCAATTGCTTGTATGCATAAAAATCCAGTATACAGATATACAGACTAGGGTGACCATATGGAATTAAGTTAAACAATTGAAGAGAGCCGTATAAGAAGAACTAAGGCATTATTTTTAATAAAATTAAACGGAATTTAGATGGAAAATTAAAAAAAGACGGATATTACTTTATGTATTAATTATATTTAACTTAAAGCTATACATTTTTTATATTTAAATTAATTTAATTTAAATCAATAATAATTCTCTAATTTAAATTAATATTTATTTAAATTTTCAATAAGTTTAGTTGCGTACAAATTGATAATTGATTGGATATTTAATTGCATGCATAGTAGGGATCATTTAGGGTATACAGTTAATTTTCTATTATATATATTTTATTAATTTCTTAATCGCGGATTTTGAATACAAAATATTAGGCTGAATCTAAAGAAACTTGCGAAAATTTTCGAGGATTCCTTGTGAAAGAGGACCAATCCTCGAGAACTGGGACGGCTGGTTCCCGGATCTGGTCACCCTAGGATTGACATTTCGTTATTGTGTCATCGGAGATTTAAAAGAGACGTAGGTAGGTATTGTATATCTCGTGAATGTTCCTCTCGATCTACGTACATGTGCCTCTGCTATCCCACATTCGAAGTGAATCCGAGACTCTCGCGACGGGATTCCCGATCTTCAATATGATCTCATGTTGACTAATTCACATTCGCTTGCCGCTTTCTAACACTCATCACACGTATTTATGTCTTAACTGTTTAGTTTTACAACCAGGAGAACGGCGGCAAGCCACCGCTCGTTGGGATTCAACTGGTGGTGCCGAAACCGCCCAAAGATTATCGCTTCATGAAGTGGAACTGGCCGTTGATACGGAAGACATGCTACTGGTCATTGATGTCGATCTTGACCGGGTGCGCCGCTCTTGTTATCGGCATTATCGCCACAATGCCTAAGAAGTATGTGTACGCACGTTGTGCATATTTTACTTATACGAATAAGCTCGAGAGAGCGATAAAGATCGAAGAGAGCGATTGCGATTCCCGAGTCAAGGGAATTCCTTTAATAATCTCAATCTCGAGAAAGTGATTCCAAGCTGAATAGCGAAGACGGTTGAGGTATTTTTTACAACTGCGAATAAAACGTTTTTTTACGGTGAAAATACATTTTGTCACTTTGCAATTTATACATCATACGATAAAAGTCTTGATTTCCATTTTTTTTCTCTTAAAAAAACCACGAATAAGATAACATTTTATCTAATTCAAATTTATAATTTATTTTGCGTATAGCACATATAAATGTAAATATAAAAATATTTTATCAAAAAATTATGAACGAGCAGCGTTTTGATAAGTAGATAATTTTTAAAATTGTACGTGTAATTTCACATGAATTATTTGCGTCTTAGATGCGACCCGCCGGTGGAATGGTGGCAAGGCAGCACCTTCTACGAGATATTCCCGGCGTCTTTTCAGGACTCGACGAAGGGTGCCGACGGGATCGGCGATCTGCGCGGGATAATTACGCGGCTGGACTACTTGAGGGATCTCGGAATACGAGCGGTCCGACTCAATTCGATATTCCCGGCGCCGCATTACCCGGAATATTACTCGAACATCAGCAACATGACGGACGTGAACAGGGAGTTGGGCACGTTGGACGACTTCTCCGTTCTTGTGCGCGAGATTCACGAGCGAAACATGAGCATAGTTCTCGATCTGCCCCTACACCCGTTTGTGAAGAGGTCGATCAGCGACGCGAAGACGAACGAGACCGAACGCGCGCCGCTCCGGGAGAGACGGGATCTCGCTGACGGCGCGACAATTCACGACGCACTGCCGTCCGCGTCGTCCGCGTCGGTCGAGGTTATCCGCGACGTCCTGTCATTACCGCTGCAGGAAATGAACAGGCAAACGCTTCCCCCCGGTCCCTCGGCTCGTCAACAGGAGCACCCGGTTAGCGAGGCCGTCAGGATCTGGCAGCAGCGAGGAGTGGACGGGTTCTATCTGAAGGGGCTGGAGCATTACGTAGACGAGGACACGTTCGTGAGCGATCTTCGGTACTGGAGGTCCCTTCTGCGCCCCGGCAGTATCTTCATCTGTCACGTGAGCGCCCTGGACGCCGCAACCTCCGCCGCGAGAAATTCCATCCTGTCCAGGATAGACCTGATCGACGTGACCCTCCGTCTGTCGAACGGCACGAGGAACATCAAGGCGCAGATCGAGAGCGTCACGAAGGGCGTGCTCTTCGACAAGCCCGCTTACCCGTGGATCCACTGGTCCGTCGGCGGCGTGGACACCAACAGGGTGGCCTCCACCGTGACCGTCAAGAACGCCAGTATGGCGGCTTCTCTTCTCAGCATGATGCTACCCGGGACACCGAATATATTCTACGGAGATGAGGTATGAATTTACATCGTATTCGGGAGCCACGAACAGAGCCCGGAGAATGTATTTGTTTCATTTGCGTGTTTTAAAAATATTATGCCTTAATAATCACGGTTGCCACCTTCTAAGCCGAGTATTGTGCCGGACATATATATTAGTGTTCTGCTGAAAGACCATTAATTTTAACCACGCTATTAAAAATTCTTCCAAAATACACATTCTCTAAAAAAAAAAGATCATCAAAATTTACTCTTCTGTCGGAGATTTTTTTATTGGACCCAAGAAAAATCATTGTGTTTTCCCAAAAAGGAGGTTGTCAAAATTTAAAGCGCTCGCTCGGAAATTATTTTCATGTGCCGGAGAGCCGGGGATTCGTTGGATAAGCCGGAGTCTCTGGACGAAAACCCCTCTGGTGGCAACCGTGTGCCTTATCCTTGAATTTTAATTATCCTTTATTCGTCGCAATGCAAGATATTAATAGCAATTTGCGAGAGAAACATTTCAGTGAATCTCCTTTCGAGATAGTTAAAAGAGAATTCAATGCGAGAAGGAGTTATCTGTTAATCGGATTTTCATTCGCTCAGATCGGTATCGAAGATTGCGAGTGTCGGGATCACAAGGACTTGGCACACGTGCACAATTTGGTTCCTATGTATTGGGAGAAGGAAGCAGACGGCTCCGGTAGCAGTTTCTCGCCTTCAGGAGTTACCGCTTGGCTACCAGAAGCTGGGAAACCTATGAAAACCAGTTTGAAAAACACCATTGCGGAAATGACGAGACTAAGGATGGAAGCGACGCCAGTTTACGTCAAAGCGGTGCTAAGAGACAGCCAAATTGCTGCGAACTGTGATGTTAGGTAAAGCCCTTTGATTCGCGCGAGTTTCCGGACTCGTGACTTTCCTTGAGATAATAAATCTAAATGTCTTTGACGATGATTTAATTTTTTTTTTAACTCGAGAAATTAATTTTATTTCTTTATTTTGCATGCGATTAAATGTGGTTCCATCTTGCTAAATTGAACAAATTCCATTTTAGATTTTAGCTTTGTTAGATCGTCTTCTTATTGCATAACATTGATGCGAAATGTGAAGCCGTGTAATAAATATTTGATTTAATATTGTTCTATTCAGGTACGTGGAAGATGAAATGATCGTGATCGAGCGATGGTATCCACGAAGAAATTCCTATGTGTTTGTGGCCAATTTCGGCAACGAGACGCGGATAAAGGATTTATCGTCTCTTTATTACGGCGGTCACGTTGTTGTTGGGCCAAAGTACAGAATAAATCGGAATGTGTACTTCAAAGAATTGGCCGTCCCCCCGGGAGAGGCGTTTGTTATAAAATTAGATAAGTGAGAGAGCCTCGCGGTTAAATAATAAGTTCAGATATTATTTTTATTTATACTCTTGTCACGTAAAACAATTTAATCGTCAGTGTTATTTACAAAAAAGGATACCTTACAACGAAATAAAATTTTATAAAATTTTACTTTACGAAATTTCAGGGATAAACTAATTCTTGAATGATCGAAGGTAAGGGATTTTTCGAATTCATGTTTTAGGAATGTGATAATAAATTAAGAAGATTATTTTATTATTTTTATTATTTTTTGAGTAATTAAAATAAAGAAGGAGAAAAAACAGAAGAATGGTGCTGGAAGTTAAGAAATCAAAATAAAAGAGCGTCCAATAAATTTTTTTATGACTATGACTAGTACAAGTAACACGTGTCTCACAGCATTACAAATGATTATAGTCTCATTACTTATGTCGTACAAAAAATTGGATCCTTACAACGAATTTTAATGCATATCGATCACATATTGTATCCACAAAATCGATCTATAATGCGATTGTGACTTTACAGCATGCGGTTATCATCGTATTTATTTCGGCTCCTAAAAACACTGCAGAGGCAAAAGGCCTTACATTTTTGTATTATACTTTCTTTGATAAATCAAAATTTATTGTATATCGTAATATTGTAATAAAATTCATCACGTTATGACGGCCAAAAAATCGCGTGTAGGATCTCTTCGTAATATATATATATATATATATATGTGTGCATAAAAATATTAACTTTAAAATATTTTCTACGACATAAAAACTATAATCGTTTTGGCTACTTATACAACGCGTTGTCTAATTACTTTTATTGTTGGCATCGAATCGTACAATTATATACGGTTTTTTCGACAATTATATATGTATATTAGGAATAGAAATGTATCGTGTGTAATTGATTGTGTGAATGCAAAGAATTTATGTTAACAAAATTATCTCTACGTATTTACACAGACAAATAAAAGAAGTTCTGAATATATTGCTAGATCATTATTGTATAATAAAATTTTTGTACAATAAATAATGAATAACAACAAACACATCAAATTAATTTCATTTATTTGCTCAAAGAAAATCGATTGAAAATAATTTTGATTGTTTTATTTTTCTATATAAAATCTTATTTTTACGCAGTATTTTTAATATAAAATTTAGTACTTATTCGGTTATTATAGATCCTTAAAAATCCCATAGATTTGGAAAGACAATAAAAGTGTAAACGATGGACACCACAAAATATAAGAGAAATAAATAGAAAATTTTTGTTAATATAAAATCTTTTGTATATATTTATAGATCATATAACAAGTTCACCATCGATTGTTTGGAACATCACTTTATATAGGCATATAGTCGTATGGAAAATTGTAATTATCTGGACGGAGATCTATCGTTTGTGTAGAAATTCTGGAAAAAAGCACAATAACTTGTTAATAACAAAATGTATAGGAACAAACACTTCATTAAACTTTGTTTTGATAAATAATTACCACTCTAGAGAGAAATTAAATATTTAATTACAGATACTCTATTATTTTATGGTATGATTCTGTCGTAAAATTTGATTTACAGCTTACTTTCGTGGCTATATTAATAAGATTCTCAGCCATCGCAGCACCAGTCTGCTGTACCATGTTGTAAAAATATCCTTCTCGTTGTAAAAGAATATACGGATGATCAAATTCCTAAAATCAACGTCTATCATTTTCTAAACAACTTTTAATTATTAAGGAAAATATTCTGAAAACTAAAAATAACATTAACATCTTACATTACCTACTTTTTTTTAACAGGCAAGAACGCTCATATTAAATTGTAACCCCAAAGTTACCGGAATCTTTTTAATTGTTTAACCACTGACTTGTACTTACCACAAGGTGTCCAGCATTCATCACGAATATTCTATCGCTGTCCATAATGGTGTTCAATCTGTGAGCTATGGTGAACACGGTGCAGTTTATAAATTTCGTCCTAACTGTCTTTTGTATAAGGGAATCCGTGTAGGGATCGATATTGGCAGTCGCCTCGTCCAGTATTATAATTCGATTGTTCTTGATAATAGCGCGCGCGAGGCACAGCAGCTGCTTCTGGCCGACGCTGAAGTTCGATCCCTCATCGGACACCCTTGTGTTCAATCCGGCGGCCATCTCGGAGATCGTCTTCTTCAGCTCGACATCCTGGAGAGCCTGCCACAGCACTGCGTCGGAATACTGATCGAAGGGATCGAGATTCTGTCGCAGACTGCCGGCAAACAGGAATGGCTCCTGAGGGATAATACTGATCTTTGAGCGGAAGTCGTGCAGGGCAATCGCGCCGGTGGACACGCCGTCTATGAGGATTTCACCCTCCACGCAGGCCATGCGGAAGAGAGCGTTGATCAGAGATGATTTTCCCGCGCCGGTTCTGCCAACGACACCGATCTTCTCCTCCGGCACGACGGTGAAGTTGATATTCTTGAGGATACATGTTCCCCGACGATTGTATTTCAAGTTTACGTCCTTAAATTTCACGAGACCCTTCGTCGGCCAATCATCTGGTGGCTTGGAATCCGGCTTGCTGTCGATCATCGGCTCCTCCTCCAAATGACTATACTCGAGTATTCTCTCTATGGAGGTCAACTGGCTCTCCAGCTCGGCCGTTTGTCTGATTCCCCACTGCAGCATGTTCGTCAACGCCATGACCTGCGTGATTACTAAACCGATGTTACCAACAACAGCCAGATCGTCAATAGTTATGAAAGCTATAATTATTCCTCCCATGTAAAGCTGGCGGATCACATCAATGCAGATGCCAAAGGCTCGAGAAGTCGACAGGAAGAGAAAGCAGGCGGACGAATGAACATCCTGATGAGTGCACAGGTCCACCATTAATTTCTCCTCGGCGTTGAAAGCTCTAATTGTTGTCAGACCTTGCAGAGACGCCCCGAGGTGGTCGAAAATCGGTGAACGTGCTGAAAAAATCATTTTTTTATTGCATTACTTATTTTAATATCTGTTTCTGGAAATAAAATCCAATTTGGGAAAAATAACTTTAAAATAAATAAAACAATTGTTTCGGTACGCAAACAAATTTAAAAGTATGAGAGATCGAAAGTAATTCGATTGATTTTTCGTTGGTTACAAATATTGCATTTTCTGAATATCGCTTTCTAAATTTTCTGGAGTGAATCTCACTACAAAGGAGAGCAGATACGTTACTTACTTATCCCTTCGAGGCGTTTGATACTACGACTGGTGGTGATGTATATTGTGCGAAAATAGGTGAAAATGCAAGCGCAAAGTACAGTGGGTATCGCCAGCCACGGGGTAACTGCTATAATCATAACTGCCACCGTGATCGAGTTGAGTCCGATTACTATAATGTCGAATACGCACATCGACATCAATATATCAACAATATTGATATCTCTGGCAAACCTAATTAAAAAATATTTTTTTTCTATCATGTTTTTTTAAAAATTAGATTTACTTGATTAAAAAATCGTCAAAAACGGACTACAATATTGCACTCTTCCGCAGCATTTACCTGTTTAATATACGGCCAGCTGGATTAGTACTGTAGAAATACATGGTTGAACGCAATATGCTGCGAAACATGGCGGAGTGGAGATTAATCGAGGACCACTTGCAAACGCTAAAGTATATGATCGTTTGAAATTGCCAAAGCAGTATGATGGCCGCTATCATAGCGCTGTATAGGTAGATCGTGGAGTCGCGGGATAGTGGACCTTCCCATTGAAACTCCGTGGAGTTGCCCGTCTCGTGCCACAAGCTCGATTCGACGTTTACCCAGAACGCGACGAAGTAGTCGCTACCGCCGGCCCCTACTTGGCTCGCTAAGAAGATCACTATCATCAACGCGATCATGACAGGCCTCTTACTCGCCTTAAAGTAAGCGAAGAACGTTTTGCGAGATATGCGACCCTTTGCCATCGTTTCCTGCGTCTCAATGTCTTGCGAGATGTTCTCGTAGTTCCTTGTCTCGGCCTTCATCGAAATTTGACGCTGTATAACGGACTGTCTACTCTCAGTCTCTTTGTCCTTCAAGTCTGTGGCCTTTACTAACTTCATAAAATCGTGGCCCAACGCTTGCAGTTCCTCGAAGGTACCCTTGTGTTCGATACTACCGTTATTCATCACAATGATCTGGTCGGCGAGCTGCAGATACTGCAGTTGATGCGTCACCAGAATCCTCGTTTTCCCCTGAAATATCAGCTTAATTGACATCGAAATATCTATTGTTGAGAGAAATATTTTAAAGATAAATCAAATTAATTGTCGATTATACATCATAATTAACAAAAGTGAAGCAGAAAAAAAAAGATAATTTAGTTACATGAAACTCAACGAACGATCACTGAAACATTCTTATCTTAATTCTTTCTTGTTCATCATAATGTGAATATTTTACGATCTCTTACCTTTAAATAGCCGCAGATACACTTGTCCACGAGACGTCTGCTGACGTGCGAGTCCACGGCGGAGAGAGGATCGTCCAGCAGGTAGATATCGGCATCTTTGTAAATCGCTCGCGCCAGATTGATCCGAGTGCGCTGGCCTCCGCTCAGATTTATCCCCCTCTCGCCCACGATGGTGTGATCGCCATGGGAAAATGAGTTTATGTCCGTTTCCATCTGGCAGACTCTGATCACCTCGTCGTAACGCGACTTGTCCATCGCCTGTCCGAACAGAACGTTCTGCTTCACGGAGGACGCGAAGATCCACGGCTGCTGGCTGACGTAGTTTATTCGTCCTCGGCTCTCGATGCTGCCGCTCGTCAGCGGCAATTCCTGGAGTATCGCTTGCAAGAGACTGCTCTTGCCCGAACCCACTTGACCGACAATGGCGACAAAGCTTCCAGGTGGCACGGTCAAGCTTACGTTACGCAACGTGTCATCCTTACCCTCGCCATGCCACTTGGCATTCACGTTGGTCATACGAAGTGCGAAAGAATCAGTCTCCGTCCGACATAGATTCTGTCTCGTTTTGGTAATCTCAGCGTGCAGCATGAATCTTCGTAAACGGCGAATACAAACTAATGCTTGTACCAATTGATGGAGTCCTATGCAAAAATATAGCTTTACTTATCAGTTCTTATTAAAGATGGAAATGGAGCTTAGTGTAATATTAATCTTCAACAAATATTAAGTTCTGTGAAACTTTTCATATTATTTTTAAAAAATTGTTAAAATTAAGATGAACATAAAATATATAAATTAACTATTACGTTACAGTAAGGTTTTATCTTTCTATATTAATTCTTAATTATAAAAATGTATTCTAGAATTTCGCATCGATAATCTTACCTGTAGAAAGCCCAAAAAACATCGAATACCGTAAAACGTTGTAATACGCTGTTACCAAGTACACTTTCTCAGCATTGATGTAATTTCCGAATAGAACGTACGCCAATATCGCGACGAAGAGACTAAGTCGCGGTACGTAGCACTCGAGAGTAAGATTCAATTGTTTTAGGATGGAATATTTCTTTATTACGTTCATCTCACACCTAGAAATAATTAAATCTAATGACAATTTGGCAATCAGTAGGAATAACAATACAAAATAAATTCTTTAATCAACTAACTTTAATTAAGAACAATGCAAAAATACATATTAATAGTATATAAAGTAAGTTAAAGAAAAAACAGATGAATGTTAGACACTTTTCGTTTTCATAAAATTAAACTTGAAATTTTCAAGTATACTTACTTCCTCGCCTTTTCGACGAGATTATAAAAAGGAATCTCCCAAACATACATTTTAATTACTTGCAATCCGATGATTACCTGATTCAATATCCTCAGCCTGTCATCTGTTTTTTCTGTTAATTTCAGCGTTAAAGATGCTATTATTTTTGCCAAGCACGCTGAAATAATATATGTCATTTCGATATGAGCTGTTATGCCTGTGATGTCACATCAAATACATAAAGGAATATTACGATGCATTTATTGCATAGTTTTTATAATCATTTATTAATGGAAATGCGCTAACCTGGAACAGAAGCAAACAGTAAATACACTGATATTCCCATCAACGCTGCCCATCCAATTTCAGTGAATGTAATGTACGTGATCCATATGATTTGAAGAGGGGCAATCCAAATGTAGTGCAGATCTACTAAGGACTCTTCCAACCTAGTAATATCGCTACTCAGAAAATTTACCATCTGAAAATGATGTACAAAACTCGAATTACAGCAAACATTTATTGAAACGCTTGCTAAAAAAGGCATTCTGAATTTCATTTGAGTTTTATTTGAATGGTTTTACATGAGATTGACATTGAGTTTTACATTAGATTGTTAGCTTCGTTTAATAATCTTAAACTTATTGTTAATAGTACTTGACATAAATATTAGTAGTACATGTATGATATCGCTTCCAAAATTATTTTGGTATAGAAAATCTCTTTATGTTCCTCAACATCTCTATTCTTCACCCATTTTTGCGCTTGTATTGTACCCTCTGGTGAGATTTGTCAGGTGATCAAACATACCCTGAAGAAATGGAAATATTTGGCTTGTGTCTGGCTCACCTGTCCAGTGGATGTTTCACTGTCCAACACAGAATTCGAAAGCTTCAATATTTTTTGATAAATCAATGAGGTACAGGCCACTTTAATTTTTAATCCTAGATGATAGGCGCCATGTATAGAATGGTGTATAAGAAAGGCGTCCAATATGCTCAGGACAATTATGCCGGCTGCGCTGTAATACACCTCGTTGCTCCATTCTTTCTTATCAATCGTGAAGTAGCGCAACAAAGTGGCAAGTAATAACGGTTGATACATTCTGTAATATAATTAAAAAATGATTAGAAGCAACGTGTATAAAAATTACTTTATGGATAGTAAATTGTTTAGAAAATTTAAATTTATTTTTAAAGCTTATATCTATCTTATTTGCAATCTCTATACTGCATATCGTATCTTTCATTTCCGAGTAACAATGAGGAAAGAACTCAAGTTTGATTTCAAAGGCATCATATTAATACAATTCGTTTAGGGTAACTCCGGTATATACGCCGCACCTATTAAAAACTTAATTTATCAGGTATTATTAATTATGTTTAAGGGGTCTTACCGCCCCTGAGGTTTTAAAATGATACCTTAAGTTTGGGATTTTTTGTGGATAAATGGATAACTTTATTTAAAATCTGCTTAGAGGATATTATTGTACATCTATAAAAATCTAAAAAAAATTTTTTTTATTTTTCTTATATATGTACAACAGTATTCTCTAAACAGCTTTTAAATAAAGTTATCTATCTACCCATAAAAAAATCCCAAACTTAGGTATCATTTTAACCCTCAGGGGTGGTGAGATCCCTTAAGATAAATGAATTATACTAATAAAAACTTTAAACTGTCTACTACTATGAAAAAATATTACAAATTAAAAATATTTATTTTTTATATTTAAAAAAAAGTTCTTTAAACCCTTGCGTCTTTGTCGTATAAAAATATGAATGGATCATACGGCTACTCACAGGTGGGATAAATGATTCAAAAAATATACAAATAATCTAAATAATAATAGTAAATAACACGTGAATTGATAACGTAATTTGCATTTACTTATTAATAAATAAATAAAAAACGTATTATCACAGATTATAAATAAATATATACATGAATATTATGATTAATGTATTGTAAAGGGCATATTATCACGTATTATTATTTGCTTTTATATTTACAAATAAATCGAGCATTTGTACTACGGCATAAATCCCACGCGCTAAAAATGTCGTATAAGCAGATAGGATATACGAGACAATAAACTAAACAAAGAACATAAGAGCTAAGCACTTGTATTTTGTTATACTTTATCCTTTACTATTCCTCTACACTTATGTACCACGAAATAACCACGAAACCTTTTATATTTCCTTTTATATTTCCTACTAATAATCATTTTATGTAGATTATAACTTGTGATTGCGTTACTTATTGCAGTGATAAATCGATTTAACTTACAATAATTTTATAAATATTAACAGTAAAAAACTGAAATCATAACACAATACTAATATAATATAAAGATATGTAACAGAGTAGTTGCGAGAAAATTACTTTCACATCTTCTATTTTTTTTTTATTTCTGCGGCATAAATCCTCGCGCGGCGTATATATCGGAGTTTATCCTATGTTTATTTGCTTTATTAACATATTTACCTAGAAAATAGCTCCATAAATGCTTGCGCAAATCCAATTAGCAGAAGCGGTTTTCCGAAACAGCGCAACAGTACTCTGAGTAACTGTGGCTTGCTGCCATTTTTCTTTTTAGCGCACGATTCCACTTCTCTTTCCCAAGCTTTGCCTATAACTTCGCCTAAATAGTCGGTTCTGTCTTGTGTTAGAGTAGCATAAAGATCGGTTTCCTCTAAATCTTTTTTGTAGCCAGTCCGAAAAATTTTACGGGTCCACCTGTACGTATTAATTGTTATTAGATTTCTTCAATCCACATTTCACATAGAGTATGTTAATTATTATAACGCACGCAAATGTATGGATATTATTCGAACATACGTATGCACTAGAGGTGTGCGAATAGTTCGAATTCGAATCGAATCAAATCGAATTACAATAGATTCGATTCACTTCGTTTTCGAATCTGCAAGATTCGAAATTGAATAGTTCGAGAATTTCGAATCAACAATGGTTCGATCGAATATCGAATTGATCGCCTAATGTAATGTTAATCTGGGAAAATTTGATTCAGATTCGATTCGTATTCGAATTAAAGAGATTCGATTCGATTCGATTCAATTCGATTCGACCATGCAAATGCTTGATTCGCACACCTTTAGTATGCACGCATGGCGCACGTACCATATGGCACAATGGCGAATACTGTAAGAAACCTTGAAAGCGCATTAAAATCTTTTTTGTACGTAAAGTTTTAAACCAAGCGTTTATTTCCAATAAAATTAATTTTATTTTCATTTTTTCTCATTATTAATTCGAACTGATATTACAATAAAATATTTTATAATAAATGTGTGTAAATACTTCTCTATTGAGTAACTCAATATTTAACTATTATTTTTTCGAATGCATATCTATATAGATTTACTTTTGATCCAGACACTATAAAATATTTATAATACTTACCAAAAGGTGAGAAGAGAAATGACATTCACATTTTGTCGTGGATTTTTTGGATATTTTTTCTGATCGTTGCTTATCATGATGACACATGGAACTTCTATTCATATTCAAATATTTGTTATTTTAAATATAGCACGGGTTACCTATATATCTTTTTATTAATTATTAAGAAGAATAATTAATAAAACAATAAAATAACGATAGAAATAAAAATCTTAGAATAGAATTTCGCTCATCAAATCGATTGCGTTAAGGACCATTTCGAAGCTATCGTTAACTCTGCTTTGGAAACACGGTCGAGTATGTCGATGACATTTTATTACGCCCTGTGCGCCATATATCACATTATCTTACATATTCTTATTGTGAGTGAAGTTGAACGGTACACGCAATATGCAAACAAATCTTTGAGAAAAAGAAAATATAAAAGATATAACCAATTGTTTCATTTTTCGAAAAGTGCAATACGTTCT